CAGATGCAAGAAAATAAAATGTTTCGTGGACAAAATTGCATTTTCTAAATTGTGACAAAGAGTACCATTCCTGCCAAAAAAAAAATAAAAAATCCAATTCCATGGGACCCTGACTGAAGACTTTGTTTCGTCATCATGCTCGTGACTCAAATCACTCGTATGTCAAATCGACGTTGCCCGTTGAAATTAATGGACATTCGGCAACTCTGTCCGAGAAAGCCGCAGCCCTGCTTGTTTTAGAAGTTCCTGCTACCAACACAACTGATTCAAATGATCAGGATCGTCTTTTAGAGAGCTTGCTTGTTTGCCCTGCATATTATTCCATCCATCCATCCATCCATCCATCCATCCATCCATCCATCCATCCATCCATCCATCCATTTTCTAACATACATTTTAATCTGCTTTAATCTGACAGAAGATAAAACACTTGTGCGTCTCTAATAAGTGTGCCCCCCCTTCTGATAGGCCTCAGGTCCTCTTCACCCAGGGGACCAATTTGAGTGGTACGCAGCACATGGTGCCTCGTGCGGGATTATCGGTCTCCACCCCACCATTGTAGTGGGGGCAAAGAGGGGCTCTTGTTGTCTTGGCAACCTGTAATGCCATCTGTCACATGTGCACTGATTATCATGATGTCGCTGAGACATCGTTTTAATTGAATCATTTCCTCACGGAGGGACCTCCTGCTAACTGAGGGACCCTGCACATTTTGTGTCAAGGATAGGTGCAGTAAAATGATCATCAAAGGAACCGATAAATATGATGTTGAGAGGCAAAAGTAAATTGTAACTGCAGAAGCAAGATAAGAAGTCAATCATAACCAGAAGGAAATTCAGCTGTAGAGTGAGATTCACTAGCAGGGTTGTTGAAGAAAAAATGCATTAATTGCAATCCTGCTCCATGTTCTCAAAGCTTTTATTTTTGGGTACAACACTGTTCAGTTGTTTGAGCAGTTTATTAATCTTTTCAACATTATATAATTTACCTTGAGCAACATGTCGAGGCTGTTTTTTTTGTTTTGTTTTTTTAATAAATAATGTTCACCAAACTGGAAGTCTCCCAGTATTTTCCATGTAAGGTTGAAGGACATCCAAAGTAAACTCATTCATATTCATAACAGTGTTGCTCTGCATGCAGATTAGCAGTAAGGAGACACACTTCAGGAGGGCGGGGGCTTGGAGGGACCTCTCCCTTGGGACAGAGGCTGCAAATGAGCCAGCAGTCACACCTGAGCTATGGAACACAAAGACAGTCACACAAACACGCGTGCATAAACTATGTAGCCAAAGTAAGTCCTTCTCATTCTAATCAATTAAAATATCTTAGAAATGTTTATTTACTTTGGTCGTTGAATTCAAAAAGTGCTGTCATATTTATTTCAAAATCTTTTCAGAGGGCCAATTTCCATCTTATTTCTATATTTTAAGAAAGGATTTTCTTGACTTGTTTGTCTTATGGAATCTAATTTCTTGATATGGAGAATTTAGCGTTCCCATTAGGTGTAAGATATACTCATCAAATCAGAAATAATTGTGATTATCTCTCCAATTATCTCCTTCAAGCTTGAGTCTGGGAGCATGAGGGTTCTGCGCCAGGATCTTAGCTGTTCTCAGGACTGAGAATCAGCTAAAATTATGGAAGAAAGAAATATTTCATTCTGTGTGTGGAGTACATCTATTGCATCATCTCCGCTCCCCCATTTCAAGAATGGGTCTGGAACTACATTTTCTGAACAGTCGGGGGGGAAAGAGAGCTCAAATCAGATGGAGTCCAAACAAGCTTTGTGGACTTTCCACAAGCCAATTTACACATTACTAGCCAGACTATGATGTGAGTGGAGTTCAACGAGGGTATCTGAGGATCTCATCTATGCCACTATGTGGTTTTGCTGTCTTTTAAACACGCTTTTAATCTACCTTTTTGTACCAAATCTGAGCCATGTTTCTCAGGAGGAAACGGTACCTTCTCTCCAAATTGGGAATAAAGTTCTGCCTCTGTTGAATCTTGATTGGTGTGCAGTAAACTCCCCTTCTGGTATTTTATTTTTTTATACAGTTAACTCCATTTTGGTCGAATTCTCGCTGAGAAAGTATTGTATGTAATTCCACTTTTGGGCACTAGATGGCGACACACTCTTAATTTTAGCCAGTGTGCATTAGGAAGAGGAAGAATGAAACAGGAAGTACTGTATTGAAGCAGAGGCAAGGTTTATCCATCCATCATCCATTTTTCCGCTTATCCTGACAAGGGTTGCGGGCGTGCTGGAGTCTATCCCAGCTGTCTTTGGGCAGTAGGCGGGTTACACTTTTAACTGGTTGCCAGCCAATTGCAGGGCACACAACCATTCGTGCTCACAGTCACACCTACTGAGAATTTAGAGTGTTCAATTAACCTGCCACACATGTTTTTGGAATGTGGGAGGAAACCGGAGTACCCGGCGAAAACCCACGCAGGCACGGAGAGAACATGTAAACTCCACACAGGAAGGCCGGAGCTGGAATCGAACCCTGCACCTCTGCACTGTGAGGTGGATGTGCTAACCAATCGCTCACTGTGCCACCTATGATGAATATGATCCGTGAATATAATTATCATCTCTGTTCCCATTTAGTGTCTCTAATTTGAAGTAGAATTTGAATACAACTTGAATTTGAAGAAACAGAAACAGGTGTAACTTATGAGGTGCCATTCGTTGGGTTTCCATGGCTTGCAGAAATGCACAAAATCCAAACAAAAAACATTAGTAATGAAAAGACAGACATTTTGAAAAACCTCCCAAATATATATTTTAACATTTTTCACGCTCTCATTAGGTGGGTTTTGGGTATGTCAAAATGGAAGTATATCGCAAAGGTGTAATGGAAACACATTTTTCGCATTTCTGCTGCTCATGTAATCCCTGCTTCGTCACGTTCGAAGGGTGAGATCCAGTACTTCAACCCCTACAGCAGCAGCATGCTGTTCAGCAGCAACAGTGACAAATGCTGCTTTGACAGAGGACCATCTGGGGATAGAAGGAACGGGGGTTTTCTGGGCAACCCTGACGAGTGCAATCTGGACCATCAACAAGGGCAGATCCAATGACACCAACATCGCCACAGAGTCGTGATGCCCACTCGTGGGGGTGGGTGGTGGTGGTGGGGGGGGGGGGTCCTCACCTGGGCAGCCAGACACTTGAGAGCAGTCGGTGCCGCAGTGAGGCCGGGGGCGCTCCATCCGATTGGATTGCACTGTCCCACGGCCCCAGGGGAAGGTCGAGATCCAGGCAGCGGAGCATTGCAGAGTGCGGGGATGCAGTGAAGACTGAAATATCCTGTCATTCCTTCACCATTGTCACATTTGCAGGCCGACCTTGAGCCAGTTACCGCGCACCACAGTGGAGGAAGTGCTCCCGGCTGCGGACCGCCATACCCCGGGGCGTGGGTCACCACGCAGGGTGAATCTCCAGTGTGAATTGCACAGGCCCCACCCGTTTATCTCCCAACGGATTCACAACCTGTCTCAATTCTCACTAGATTTTACAAGAACTACGAGATTATGTGAGACGAGATGTTACAAAAATTAGAAGAAAAACATGACATGCTTAAATGGAAGCACCAACAAGTAGCAATTGTACTTTATCGAAATGGTAGAAATAGCGCTTTTGTTTCGACAAAAATTGTAATGGAACCTCAGATAATCATTTGTTGCACACTCATGGGCACATTCATCGCGCACCCACCCACGGCCCTGCAAAAAATAAGATACCTTCAAACCAATAATAATTAAAGTATTGTTTTGGTAGACTGGTACCCGTGCTCTTGGCGTAAGAATGGGCGTAACTTCATTTCTGCAAGTCTAATCTACCATGTTTGGTGGTCCGCGGGCGTGTGTAGTGGATGCCATTCATAAATATTTATAATATTTAATCTTAAAATATTTAATATTTTAAATATTTTAATAGCACCCCAGTAACTATTGGGACAGCGGGGTGAAGTGTCACACTTGGACGCACGATCGGGGGTACACCCGGATCTCCAATTGCCCATGTTACATGCATGGCTGACAACTTCATCCACAAGGAGGAGATCTTGCAGTTTAACTGCCAATGTCACGCACAGACCACAGCGAGTTAATTTCTTTTTCCACAACGTCAAGCATGTTATACTCGGCCATACTCAGCCGTAGTGCGGTCGGGCCTACTTGATTTTGATGGAAATGAGGGACGCTATGAGGATTTGATGGCAAAAAAACTATGTTCCATCCCACAATACCCTACAGACTGCACTTACTTTGCTCATATATTTGCATAGCACTGCCGATCTCATCTTGAATGGCTCCTATTGCGATAACCGCAAGCAATTATCATAGGCAACATTTACATTACATATACAAAGACACCTTCTTGAGTACGCCAACACCGCAGCCGTATTGGATGAGGTAAAGTGAAGAAAATTGTGAATATGCTTCCTCCTTGGAGATGTATTATGAAGCAAAAAATCTCACTGGAATAATCCAGACTTATTGCTTTTGATTGTATAATCTTATCCTTGCTCAGTTTTATGATACCATTGCCGAATTTATGGCTAATATTAAAGCCACGTACACTATGGCGGATGGGCTGACATATCACTTCAACCCGGTTCCACATGTGTCTCCTACACAATTGACAAGAAAAAGGAAAAGAGTATTTATCATCATTTTAGATCTCCCAAGAGTTTATGGCTCCCATGGAATCTTGTATGAAGTATTTTTTAGTTGCCGACACTAATCTAATATGTCCTTCCTCATTTGCCATACAGTGATTCAACATGACAGCCTAAACCCGTAATGTAGGAATCTAAATGTTGCCTAATGTGCCAAAATTACCATTGCTCGTCACCAAAATATATGTTGACATCTTTTCTTATGCTCTCATCAACCTCTGAAATTAACAAAAATTTTGAGTCTTGAGAAACACCCCCCACCCCTAGAGACTGCATTCCTCCATAAAGAAGAAAATCAAGAGGAATTTTCCTTAATAGCTGATAATAACACGTTTGTTGATATAATTTTAACATGATCTTATGAGGAAAAGAAGTCTGTGCTGAGATGTGTAGAATAGATGAAGTTCTGGTAGGTGTAAGATGACACCACCAGTTGCAAGTTGAAAGTGCTCGGCTGAGAGGTTCAACCCCGCCTGTGAGGGAGAGTGAGCCCATGACTATCGGGCTCGAAGTCATGTGTCCACACCACGGGGAAAATTGGGAGCAAATGTGGATGACGTGAATCTTCATTGAACTCAACCTGTGATTACTATCAGCACTTTATGTAAGTACTTCTGTTTCTCTTCTGAAATATTTTCATAATTTCTGTCAGTTAGTGGTGATCTTATTGGAAAAAAAAATACAATGCAATACAATACATCCTGATTTATATAGCGCTTTCACAACAGCTGCGTCTGTAACAGAGCGCAAAACAAAAACAGTTAACTCAAGTAAAATAATAAACAACACAAAAACAGCAACAAAAAAGAACAAATTGAAAGGATATGTAACATGATTTAAAATTTGGAATGTACGGGAACAGGAAAATTATTATTTTTAAAAGTCATAGAAATGCAACAGCATTCATTGTACTTAGCTTCCAAAATCTAACTGCACTATGACATGTGAGAAGGTCGTGGATAAATATAAAATTTCCACTGCACATGTTCAACTATATGAGTCAAATCTTTTGACCGTACATATTTTCACACAGCCATGTATGTGCAAAAGCGTGATTGAAGAAGAATTATGTTTGATGCTACACATTTCATTATTATTAGGTGGGAATGTACTGCATGTAAATGTTCTGTGTTATTTGACCCAGTTGTACCTGCTGCTTGATGGAGATGAATAGTTGGACACAGAACAGACTGTTCTGAGGCACTTATTGTTTATTTGAGGTTTTACCTTTCAGTCAAAGGAGCAAAGGAAGAAGTTAACTTTTGCACGGTTGTGTTCCTCTGATGGTGCATACTGAAAGCCACCCGTGGAACAGTAGGCCATAGGCCTTCTCCATCGAGTGTTGATAACAGTCTTACTCCCTGCTGGTAGATGACTCCTCGACGGGCTGTCAGTGAATGTAAGACCAATGCAAAATGACTCAAAGCTGCTAATGCGTGATTGGACACGCCATATTCAAAGGTTTCCCACAGTTTATTCAACTGACGTGAAATTTTGCTTTGTTACTTTAACCCGGTCAGGGACAGCGGTTACTACAGTGGACAGCTAATCATGTTATCAGGTTATACGGTGCGTGAAAGGGTGAAGATTCTTTTGCTGACATATTTCAGTTCAGCTGGTATGTAATTGCATCTCTTTCCATTGTGGAGCTTTTACTCAAAGTACATATAAAGGTGAGGGAATATCACTTGAGCTCAAGCATGCGTTGTGCAAAGTAAACTGCAACAAAATCACCAGTATGCGCATAGACATAATTATGTGTATGTGTGCCAGTGCCCATGTGTGTTGTCTTACCAGACATGCACTTTTAAATTTTCCTGGAGCATAAAGACTGCTAGTGTTTCAAACACAGGCCAGCGGGTGACCTTTGCCATCCCTTCCCAGAACAGCCATCCTGGAGTACAGGTGCGATTTTCTCACCTGGATGTTTTGTTAGAGACAGACGCTCTCATGGCTCGCTGATCAACCAATAAACCGGCATCTAACTTGGCACGACGCACCTTCCCACACCCCGCGTCTGTCCCAAGTCTGCACCTTGTGTTGACAAAAGGGCTCCTTTCACTAAGTTCATGCAACACCGCGCCAACCTACATCTTCACATTTTGTTTTGCTGCATGAATTTATTCTACTGCGCACACACACTGTTCAGTTAGAATTTCTTGACACCGTACTCATGTGTGTTGTTAATTTCATCATGTAGTAATGCTGTTGAACAGTACAAGTCAACCAGGTCCTTAATGACAAAACACCAGAGGCATGTGCTATAAAAGTCTTAAAAGCAGATGTGATGCTGCTTGTAAGGGTTCCAAGCATCTGCATACCAGGTGTGCTTCAAATCTGATTATTCTACTTTAGATATCTAAAGTGATGTTTAAATTTTACTTAAAAGAGAGAAACCCACAGACATGGGACCCGGATGGCCTTTGACGATCATGTGTCAACAAACCTACGAACCCAGTGTGTGTGTTTGTCCTGATTCCGTGTGATTAGCGGCGAGTGTTCCCGTCAGACAGAGCTTGTCTCTGCACGGGGCCGAGCTTTATGATGTAGGCTTCTCTGGGATCATGACAAATGAGCCATGCACTAGCACGAGCAGACTGGCTCAGCCTTGCAGCTGAAGCCTTTATTCTCACATTGTATTTCAAACACTTGGAATAATTAATCTGTGCATTACGGTGAAAGATGAAAATTAACACATGTAAACATGGATAAAAATCCAGATTATCGCCAAAGTGCTCACGAGCAAGGCACTAAACTTTCCAAACCCTCATCATGCGCACTGTTTCCTTCTAGGAATCGTCAAAGCAGAAGTATGGATGGTGAAGTGGGACCAAGGAACCAGAGGTCTGAGAGTCCTCTGAGCCAGCTGACAGGGTTGGGAATGAGCTGTCTCCTCAGCCCGAAGTATCGCCACTGCGGACCTGGCCTTGCTAGTCCCCAGGAATACAACCAGTGGCTACCATACCGCCATGATGCCAGCCTACTGCCTATGAAAGAAGACCTGGCTCTTTGGCTCAACACCATCATGGGTGAGATTAACCTTTGAACAGAGACCCTGTGAAGCCAAGGGACTGGTCAAATGTGGACCTGGTCGACAATTTCTTGATGTACCATCTACACTCGACCAGTTACAGTTTTCACAAATGCATATTCTTTTTCTGATCTGATCAAGAGATTCCTTATTTCATTGCCAATATCACGACACAAAATGTTTTAGCGTGGTTGAGGAGCCAAACGCAGGTGTTCTCTCAAAATATCTAATTATAAAAAATTTAAATCAAAGACAATATAATATTTCAGAATCAAACAAAAACTAAATAAAAGTCCAAAAGGCAAAAGAATAAACTGTCACGCAAAAATCTAGAACATAGATGAGATGATTGACAGGGGGAAAACGGTCCAACAACGACTCAACGGAGGCAGGGAATTTAACACAAACAAACTGATAAGACAACGAGGAACACCTGGACCAGGCGAAAGGGATGGACTGAGCTGATTCGTCAACAGAAGGAACTGGGTAGATGAGCACAGGTGGACACAATAACTTGAAGAGATACATTGACAAAAAGACATCAGGGAAAACACAAAACTAAGATTCGAATCAAAACAAAATGCACAAACATGTCATACTAGGTGTCAGTGGAAAAACAGTTGAAGGGAAGGATTCGGGGAGTGAAGTCCAAGGAATCATTCGAAAAATGGATCAAAAACTGACTAGGGAAAGAACCAGGAAAATCTAAGTCAGTTATCAAAAGCTAAATGAGATTCAGAAAGGAAATCAACTTAATTGGGGCCATCTTCAAAGTCTGACAAATCTGAATCTAAAAAAAAAAACATGGGGGGAGGTAAATTTGAAGGGGAGCGTGAAAAACTAGGACAAGTCAACGGGACGGATGACAGAGACATGGAGGAAAAAAAGAGTATAGTAGTTGGCAGGTTGAAGGCAATGGGAAGCAGACTTCCAGCTGGCAGGGCGACACTTTGTGCTTCCCGCCGGGTCCTTTTGTGGTCGCATCACTCTGTTATGTTTTACCCAAATGCAAGGTAGCAGGGAGGCAAGGCTGAATGAAGCTCAAAAAGCATTTTATTCCAAAAACGCAAAATAAGGCACTTTGGGATGAACAACAACAAAAAAAAACAACATTAAAGAAAGTGCAATCAAACTCAAGCAATGACTTGACAATTACACAAAAACTCATAAAGCGACTGAAGAATGACAACTGACAGGGGCTACAAATCAAATTAAATAATCCAGCAATGACCGAAAGGAGGCAGGGAACTAAAAACAAACAAACTGACACGACAATGAGGAGCAACTGGATAAGACACGAAGAGATGAAAGAACTGTTTGGTTAACTCGAATAACTTCACAAGACAAACATTGACAAAAGAGACACCAGGAGAACATGAGAAAACTAAAATCAAATCCAAACCAAGTTCACAAAAAAAAAAAAAAAACAACCAAACACAATATCATGAAAGAAACTAGTGCTTAAAGGGATACTTGAGCAGGCTGAACATTGGCACTTAGATAATCAGCGTGAATGTAAAAATGCTGTTGCTGCCGAGGGAGACCAGCATCCACGCCTCTAAACCATTCATTCCAAACTCTGACCGAAACACTTGATGCTTTTGAGTGAGAATCACCGAAATGATCTCTGCAAATTACACTCCACTTTACTTGGTCAAGCCTATTACTTTTGTTTTGGTGAATGTTTCAACTTTCATGAGGAAATAACACCCAGCAACCAAGGAACCATTATCACTCGGCTCACGTTGACGTCATCAGGTTTACCCATTTTGGTCCCAAAAGTAGTGGCTAAATCTGCAAAAAACTATCATTACTGAGTCATTTGGGGGTCAAATATTCATGCAGACATAATTTTCAAGTCTTGAACTACTAAATCAGGGGTCGGCAACCCGCGTCTCCGGAGCCACATGTGGCTCGTTAGCGCACCCCTAGTGGCTCCCTGGAGCTTTTTAAAAATGTTTGAAAATAGAGAAAGATGGGGGAGTGAAAATATTTTTTTTTGTTTGAATGGGGTTTCTGTCGGAGGACAAACATTCTTAACATTTTCAAATGCTGGAAGAATGTGTCGAATAAATCTTACATTTCAACATTTCTGTCAACAAAGATTTGCGTCAGAGCGTGCAACACACGTTTGTATTAGCGGGGCGGGATGCCAGGCAGGTGGCTGTTGTAAGAAGGAACGGCGTTTCATGTCCAATTCACCGAGGGAACTGGCAAAGAATGGCGATCTGGAGGACCAAGAGAAGCATTTTAAAATGGGACGCGTCAAAAAGTTTACACGCTGCAAAAGTGCGTCCTGTGCCATGTTCATCTCAAGGGCTGTTATGGCTGTTGCTCATTATCGCATGCGGGAGGCTGGTTGATCGAAAAATAGAGCTTTGATCAAAAAAGGTTGGGCCCCCCCTGCTCTACAGGATGCACTGCAGGGGGGAAAAAAAACGTTTAATCAGGAAGGCTCATTGTGTATTTGTAGCTAATATAGCTTATATAGATACATACAGCATGTGTTGCCTTCTTCCGAAGGCTTTTAATTGTTGCGGCTCCAGACAACATTTGTTTAACGTTTTTTTGCTCCAATATGGCTCTTTCAACATTTTAGGTTGCTGACCCCTGTACTAAATAAACTGTTCAGCCGACAGAGGGTTGGCTCTCTTTAAGCTTATATTCTTTTTACAGTTGATATCATAAGATGACACATTTTATTGATGAATCTTGCATTGATATTGATGTTCAGAAATCACCACAAGGCTGTTCTCTTCATTTATGTATGTATTTATTGATGTATTTATGAAGTCAAGGAGTACTTGCATGACTATTTTGTGTTTGTGTTGTGTGTAGGTGTGGATATCACCGCTGACACTCTAATGGACAGACTGGACAACGGCATTGTTCTTTGTCAACTGGCCCAGTTTCTCCAGGAAAAAATGAGCCACAGCAATAATGGAAAGGTGCTGAAACAGAACCAAATCATTATTTTGGGGATTGGTGGCTTTTACACCTCTTTTTTTAATCAGTTGTTTACCAAAGCCCGCTATAGGTAGTAACCATTCTACAAAATAAAGCATGCTGTATGGGACATAAAATGACTCAAGCTATGATGCACAATTCTCTGATAGACAATAATTTCCCCCCACCATAATACAAACATACGCTCAGACAAGCAAATGCAAGAATGCCTGAGAATGTCGCAAGTCTACAAAACTCAGCGCGATGCATCCCGAGAGTTTCAAGTGAGAAGTCAACAGCGACACAACAACAAACAGAAAACCAGTACAACTACAAAAACAAGATGATCCCTCGACATTAAAAGCGTTTAGTTGAATGTGGGTGTTCTCCTTACATCATTTTGTGTGTGCCTCGTGCAGCCCTTCACCAGAAGAGTGATCCATTGGCGAGCTGATGCAACTTCAGGATCTTTTTTTGCCAGAGACAACACGGCCAACTTCCTCTACTGGTGCCGCAAGATTGGCATTGACAGGGCCCACCTTTTCGAATCTGAGGATTTAGGTGAGCTCGTGGTGTACTTTGTATTTGTCAATACAATATTTCAGGTTTGATTCTTGGTCCATCTAGTATGCAAATAAGATATAATTCCAAATTTGTGCTTGGTTAATATTTTTGAGGCTATTCATAAATTGTTATTAATAATCACTAAAAACAGGCTGTGTACCCACTTGCTGGGTAGCTATGGATATTTCGCAGATTGGGTTACTTTCACCCATGGTTGAGATAAATTTAACGTAACATTCATAGAAAACGTCAATGGCCCCCGTATGGCTCAGGGGTAACACTGCTGACTTTGGACACGTGGATCCATTGTCAAAGTTGTGCCAAACGTATCGTGTGAATGACTTGGTGTGGCAAGCCCTGAGAGGGGAAAGTTGCTTCTTCTTCAGAAAATGATGGTGTGGAAATGAGTATTATTTTTAACCACAGTTGCACTGATTGCCTCGTAACCAATTTCCTGGGAGCTTTAGCTTGTTTGTGTGGGTAGTTTTTACAACTCTTGTTGGATTCAAATGTTGATCCAACATGCAGGGTCAAATCTTTCACCCCATGGGCCAGTAGTTGTAATGTGGATAAAAATGATGCGGATTTGGAATCCCATTATTTGCTGTCCAGGATCTTTTTTATTTTTATTCTGTTTTTGCAAAGCAACATTGGAATGGATCACCCTGCTCCACATACACCGTTTTGAAGATTACCAGATCCATATGAGCAGTGCTCTAAACGGGACAACATATCACAATGTGGATTACAAGCAATGTAAACAACAACGGATAGACGAGCCAGCAAAGACAAATTCTAAAACACAAAAATAATTTTTAGTTATAAATGTATTTATCAACACTCATCTGAGCGACAATAAATAAAAAATCGGCATAAAAACATAAGCGTGGATATTTTCATGAACTCTTAAAATTCAAATAAAGGCTACCTGTCCCATAGCTAACAATATCAAGAATGTTGTGTCTTTGATGTTATTAATTGGTAGCCTATATCGACTTCATTACTGTAACAGGTGAAGAAATCAAGTGCATAGTATAAATAAAAATACATACACAAAACAATACAAATTGACTACTTGACCAATTTGAAATTTTTGCTGCATTTTTTTTCCTGAAATCCTACTCTCAGTTGCATTCACAATAGTCTCGGTTTTGTTGTTGTTGTTGTTTGCTTGCTTTTCCACTGAATTCATCCAGATCCTACTGAAATGTTTTGAGCAACACAAACTGAAGGTTTGATCCATATTAATACGAGGAATGGATTGCATGAGCAAATTTGATTTCAGAATGCTTCTTTCCCTTTTGTTCAAAAAACTTTATGTGACTAGCCGAATAGTGGGTTGGGGAAGTAGTGATACAGTGACAGGCACTACTTTGCTAACTTAGTGAGTCTCATTGTACTATAACTCATATGATGATTGCTTTGCCTTCCCTTTGTGTCCGATTCGTGCTGCGGATGTTCTGCTATCGTATCAAAAAAGGTCCTGCCACGGTTTTGACCTTACACATCATTCTTTTCCTGGAACCGAGATCAATGAGATTGTTTTCAACAGTAGATTTGGTTGAGTGTCGCAGGGTATATGTTGTGCAACTGCCTTCTTTGTAATGCTGTCGGCATTGTTGGCTTCATACAGGCACTTTGTTTGATGTGAAAGTAGTATACCGGTGGAAAGAGATGAAGCATTCATGCCCTCATGTCCTCAGATGCACATTCAAAGGCCACAGGAATTCCAGGTCTGCCTCAAAGATAGAGATGAACAACAGAGATAGATAGAGCACTTCCCAAAATATGCCCCCTTTGCCGTACCTCAGTTTTTTTTTTATTTATTTTTTTTTTTGTCAAAGCTTCATTATATTGATTCTATTTTTATCACTCTCTCGATCTCTCCCCTCTTTGTTTGTGTTTTGTTCATGTGCTGTGTGTAGTCCTCCATAAGCAACCCCGGGAAGTGTGCCTGTGCCTGATGGCGCTGGGACGCATGGCCGCCAGGTAACTAACTACGGTAACTGTATGAAGTACTCCAGCCAAAATCGGGCTCCTGCAAAGTCACATCATAACGCAATGAATGAAAGTGTGAAAAGAGGAAGTGTAATTGGTGAATGACCAAAGCAGGCAAACATAAGGCATAATCTTTTTAATTACTTCGAAATTTGCATTGCAGCTTCCTGTATAAGCTCTTCATTCATTATTATTTTCATGATTATCTATGTTCGATGACATAGCTGTAAAAAAGCAGCAACATTCTTTTGTTCCATTTCTAATTGCTATTTTGAATGACATCATAATGATTGCCATATTTTTGCCTTTTCAGGTATGGCGTTGAGCCTCCAGGCCTGGTGAAGTTAGAGAGAGAGACAGAGAGGGAAGAAGGAGAGAGTACCTCTCCATTGTCCACGCTACCCTTCTCCTTTTTTCCAACCCCGGAGCTTTGCTCACAATCGCATTCAAGCAAGTCCCCGACCCCACCCCCTCCCTCTCCACCAGTGCCCCTCACTCCAAGCTCCATCTGTCTCTCTGAAGCACACATCTCACCCTTCGCGTCTGATCTTCCATCAGCCACTGCGGACCCAATGCCCACGTGTTTCCTGCAGTCCTTCCTCTCAGCTCCCAAACGCTGCACAACCACAGCTTCAACACAAACGCCTTTGTGCTCCACTGGCACATCTGCAGCCTCCAAAGGCCAAACGCAAGTGGCCATTGCGGCAAGACCCCCAACACCTTGCCACCTGAACCGTCACTCCAGCAAATCCACTATCCGACAGAGCACCGGCACCAGCAACATTTTGGATGACACTGTACGCCTCATTCGTGGAATGTATTATTTGAGATTGCAAACATTGTGAATGTTGCACGTCTGCAGCACATTAACACCCTGTGTCTGTCTAACCTCTATCAGGTGAGAAACATTATTGAAAATCCACCCTGCAGCTGTCCAACGAGGTTCCCTGTTGAAAAGCAGCCAAGAAGCTGTTATCGTGTGGGGGAAAAAGTTCTTTATATACGGGTAAGCATTGCATGGCTACACCTCAGTTTTTTTCCCTGTAGTTTATCTTTACCCACTTATGCACTACTAACAAGTTACGGTCAGTGAGCGATGCAGAACACCTACCGACAGCGAATCTAATTAGAATTGCTTAATGTTTCGTAATGTTCACTTGCCTGCAACCACTCTTTTTTTTTTTTTTTTTTGGGTGTTTGTTTTTTCAAATCAATATCGCAACCCTGTCCCTGACTCTATGTGAACCTTTTGAACACACTGTGGTTAACGATCCAGAAATATAGCACTTCCTGCATCCTTTGTCTTGCAATTACGGAGAACATAAACAGTGAAACAAAACAACAACACAATATAACAACATACAACTGTACCACATACATCATCTGGTGCGGTTCTGAATCAGTATTGATAGAAAATTATATATTCTTTATTAGAGCTTGGACGAGCACCCAAAATCTGCATTCGTTATTCATGTTCATGTTGACGAGCGAGTACCAAATAAACTTGAATCAGTTACTTATTGTACTTTTCCCCAAACACGTGAGCAAAATGGTAAATGGCAAATAGAGTGCACTAAGGCAGCCCTTTATCTACAGCACAGGTGTCAAATTCAAGGCCCGGGGGCCAGATATGGTCCGCCATATCATTTTATGTGGCCCGCGAAAACAAATCAAACATATCAACTTCTACCATGATCGCTAAAATCTGGACCAAAAGTTCAACTTCTCATATGTAATAAATCTGAGAGATATTATAAGCATTTTCTTGTTCCCAAACCCCTCATTACAGCAACTTAAACAATTGTCGAATCAACCATTATTCTTCACTTCTTTAAATGCATTCACAGTCATAATGGCCCTCCAGGGAAAACAGTCACTTCAGTGTGGCCCACGGCAAAAATGAGTTTGACACCCTACAGCATATGCTGTCCAAAGCACTTGACAAATCCTCATCCATTCACTTATTTTAAGACATACAGTATATATCCCCTGAACTGGAGTGTACACCAGTGCGTTGCTGTAGTAGCGTCATCCTACGCAAAGGTTTTCCTTTTTAGTTTATAATAGCTTACTTCAACTTCCAGGATCTCTTGTCTTACCCCGGCCAGTGGTAGATTCCAGGATATACTTCTTGCTTTGGCCCAGTAAAGCCATCTGTATAGCGGCGTACGAGCTAGCGCAAAGCTAACCTGTTGTCTCCCGTCCGGCGTCCACATGCCAAACTCGCTTTGTATGCTGCTATGACGGTGTGAGAGGCCAGCAGTGACGTAATAAACACAAAAGCATGAATACACTGCCAAGCTGTTCTTCATTGACTCACTGCTTACCAGTTGAAATGAATGCTCATTAGCCGGCCAAATATTCCTACGCACATGTAATGTTTGCTGAATGCAATGTGGACCTAACTTTTCACCCATTTGCACTCCCCACATATGGAAACGTGAGCGCCATGCCGCCATCCACACACACCACCACAGAGGTAAGCTTAAGTGGGCCATAGTTGGATTTTAGGATAAGTATTCATCAAGATAAGTTATTTAAGACACGGTATGGGCAAAATAATCTGTGAAGTGCTTCATTTAATGCTAAAAATAATGTTGATACAGTGGAATTGATGGCTTGGCTACTCTCAGGGAAGGTGTTCTTTGCTGAGCCGCAATTAATTTGTAGTCTGAAGAACAAGGTGGCGTTCATTGGATATGGTGAGTTGAGCTACAGTACATTCATGAAGGCCTCCACTGTGGCACCATTCCTTCTGGCAACATTTTTTTTTTTCTCAATACAACACTGGATTCAAACAGGAGCTCAGAACATTCAGATTTTACCCATATTATCCCCATTGAAATCTTCAAAAATAATTAATAATTAATCTATAATATATAATAATTAATCCTTGATTGTTAAGGTCACAAATAGTTCCATTGATTTGAAGTCCATGCAGGCAGTGTATGTTCAGTTAGGGGATTGGTTGCCAGCCAATCACAAGGCATGTTTAGACAAACAATCACATTCACACCATCACAAAGTGAGGATGTAGTGTGAGTTAATATGGTAATTTGATGATCCAATTTTATCCTGCATCCACAAGTAAAATATACACAGTGCCATTATTATCATTCATCTAAAAACATTACATTCATTATTCAATGTTTTCAACATTTGCTTTATAACAACAACGTTGTGTTTTATTGCGTTTCTTCAAAACAAAGTGAAATCAGGAGGCGTGGCCGAAGACGAAAGTGCTTGTTTTGAAGGACAGCCAGGAGAGATGCTCGTGATAGACCTGGTATTGTAAATAATGTTGCCGGTGGTTGTATGGTGAACAATGTGACAAGTTTTAAACAGAACAACAATTGAAGTGAATTGTGTTCAAATGTCAAATTCATCTGAAGGTGTCAAATTGGTATTTTCAAAAATATTTCATATTTTGCACTGTGCAATCTACTGTACAATTTAGACTCATCAACACATTCCATTGACATTAAGGGCTCACACAATCACTTGCTTTAAGATCCAATGTTGGGCCATTTGTATTTATATTGTGTCTACATTTGTAAATGTGAATTGCATATGTAATTTTAATTTTAGTTTGTAATTTTGTTTTGTTGTAAGAGGTCACCATTGCGAACAACTGATTTTAGATTTATACTTATTGCCTGACCAACGTCAAGTTATAAGCTAGACTAGGTGAGAGGCTAATAATGTAAAACGTTGAAGTATATTAAATGAAAGCACACCATTTGAATGTCATTCTATGCCAAACATTTTGTAGACGAATATGAAATGGCTCACCCCAAAGTATCTCTTGATAGTTCGTGTGGGCATAATATGATTTAGAAAAGGTAATTAATCCGTCGCTGTGTCAGCAAGTTGAATCAACCTTTTTTTGCCATTATGTGGGATGGAGATGTTGGTGCCTTTCAGCCTCCATGAGTCATTCACCACCTGTATGTTTCAATACAAAGGCTCAAGGAAAGGCCTTCTGGGAGTCAGGGTTGCTTGGCAACGAATGGTCTGGATAAGACTGGGCTGACAACGATTTGATTCAATACACAGACCTTCAACTAAGAGTTCAAATCTGAGGGGAAATGAAACGTGCCTCTTTCAGGTAGATTTGACAAAGATATGGCTGTTGTGTGCAGTTCAAATGGCAGCCCCTTTGGGACTCGGCGGCCTTCCATGTGGGAAGGCGTCTCATTGTATACTGGATGATTTCTTTCATTCTTGCTCGGATCCATCAACCAACAAAAATATGACTGCCTCCAACCTCGCATGTAAATGACAAGCACGGGGTGGGGGAGGGAGTTTTATTTTGTAAAATCTTAGTAGGAGGTAAATACATATAAAGATGCTGATGCTTATGCACCGCACATGTGTGTGCATGATCTAGTTAGTTTGCTGCAATGGCGGCCTTCATTATTGTTCCAATGCTGGCAAGACAAAAGTGAATGAAGAACGTGCCTGTTTTGTAGATTACTCAGCACCTTTTAAATTTTTAGAAAAAAAACGTTTTTTTTTTTTTTTACTTTGGTTTTTTTCTGACCATGTTTTTTCATAGCAGTAGAATGTTTTGAATCAGATTTCAGAATTCTTGTTCTATGAAAGGCGAAATGGGTGATGTCTAAGTGCAAACCATTTTCATTGATGCATCCGTTTTCTATACTGCTTGTCCTCATTTGGGTTGCGGCCTACCCACATAATTTTGGGTGAAAGGCATTGTACACCCTGGATGGGCGCCAGCTAATCACAGACCACATCAAGACAAGAAACCATTTCCCCTCACATTCACACCTTTGGACTATTAGGAGTCTTCAATGATCCCCACATGCATGTTTTTGGAATGTGGGAGGTCGCTGTAATACATGCAGAAACCCCATGCAAGCATGGGGAGTACATGCAAACTCCACTCAGGGAGGCCAAAGCCCAAATTTGAACCTCTGTATTTTTATCGCTACGTGTTGGATATCCTGGAAATGTTAACGCAGGTCAACAGCAAGCCAAACTCAATCTTCATTCGCCAGGAAGCTGAGCGTCTTGCTACTTTATTACGGTCGTCTTTCTGCAGCAAGTTTCTCTCTGACTGAACACGGAATCTGCTAGCCATAATACATTACGATTACTGACGACGTTTTCAGAATGGGCTAGAGCTAAACAAATGCTGACTGGTAGAAATTATTTTAACATGGAATATCACATGAATTACGACTTTTTAAAATCAGGAAATGTTTCAAACCCTTTTTTTTAACCTTGATGATATACCTCTGAAACTTTTACTGTGGGCAGAAAAAAACCCCATCCAGGAACTATATGGTGAATGTGTTAAACACTTGGCTAATCAGGTTAACACAATATTCAAAATATAAAGTTATACATAAATAAGAATTTAAACAGGTGACATGCACATGAAAAGCCTATCCAAAAGTGGAACACCATCAGTATAGAAGTCAAACAGTGGTGGGAGGAGGGCCTGAATCAAATTCAGTTTAGGGCCCACCCACAAAGGCACTGCACTGAACTCACGCACGCGTACAACTAGTGGCTCATTGGTCACTAGTTGAAAACCAATTAGTGCTTTGTTAATCTGATTGAAAGTCCTATTGACCAAGCACACTTTTAATTGGTAATCAATACTGTCAGCCTCAGTTTGTTGAAAATAACAGATACAGCTAATGGCACAAGTCCAACTGTGTCTCACGGTGAATGTGTAGAAGTAAGTGAAGTTGAACATTGTTAATCCAGCCCAATGTCACTCAATTCCTATAATCAAATCACTTTTACATGTGCATGATCACAGATAACAGATCTTTTTTTTTATTTTTTTATAATGCAATATACTTTTTTCATTGTTTGTTGCAGGCCATCCACACCAAATATATCCAGGCATACTTTTAGTTGGTCGCAGTCGCACTAGATAGAATATCCATGTTTGCTTAATTAATTGAGCTAGAGTTCTGTCCTTATTTCCTTCATGTTTCATGTTTTAGCCATTTAAAAATATCCAAAAAG